GTGCGCGATTCGGGGGTGCAATAACAATCGGTGGCGTAGTGGGGATAGCATTCGGTGGCTGATTCTCTGCATCATTACTTGGATATTCTTCAGGCTCCAAGTTTATACAATCAAGTGGGCTAGATGATGCAGGATCGCCGAAGGTAGTAGCACCAAAGCGCATTGTTTCAGCCTCGCCATTTATAGATTCATCTATGTTCAGTAACGCAACCACTTGTTCTTCCGTCGCAGTTAATGAACAGAATCTCGATGGTCCACCTACTGTTCCCGAAATGCTCTCCTTATTCCTTCGTAACTTCGCCTTAATATTGCTTTTATAATCTACATAAAAAAAATTATAACGTTTTACAATAGTGTTCACAAAAACATAATAAATTTGTTACCTTTTTCCATTCAGTGAAGTTATGAGTTGGAGGTCCGCATCAATAAAGCTCATTTTCTAGCCTCTTCCACAGATTATTAGAGGTTTGCTTTGCAGCTAAACCCTTAATTTGACCTTTCGCCAAATCGCTGTGTTCCATCATGAAATTTACCAATATTTCAAATTGTCGAGGCTTGGTATTTGGTTGTTTGATTTTCGTTGTCCTAAAAATAATTTTTTGATTAAATGAATACATATTTTCACAAATATTATTGCAATTACTTATATGTTTGCGGACGTCCGAGTGCTTGGTTGCTGTCGAATAGAATTTTCTACAATTCCACCATTTTGACATTTGCTTTCGATGCAGGGAGTACCAAACTTCCGAAAATTCGAAAGGGGATAAAAAAAATTCGAAGGGAACAGAATGGAACTCGAACATCGAACGAATGTTACTCTAAGGGTGCTTTTAGAGTACCAATCGTTCGAAAGCGAACAAATTTTCTTTCGAATCGAACTACAGAGTAAGGGCCCAGTACCTTTGCAAGCAAAAGAGTGCAAACAAAACGATTTATGTTTCGTTGCTTGACGAGCATAGCTAGATCGTTTCAAACGATTCGTTTTCTTACACATGAAGAGCGTATACCAGCTATCAGTGTTGCCAAGTGTTGAATTTGAAAAAGCACCAAAACCAAAGAAAAATCGCGTTTTTTTTCGAAAAAAGCACCACATTTTTTATTTGAGGATTTAATGAACTTTGTATGCATACACAATTTTTTTGTAGGTATGCCGATTCAAATTAATAAAAATTAATGCTTCCTGCTCGGCGGTCGAAGGTTCGTTATTCATTTTACTGTTAGGAGATGCTGGTGCTTTTTTTAATATTCGTAAAAAATATAACAAATTCTGCCCAAATTAAAGGTCTAGAGATCGATTCCTGGTCCCAGCAACATGGACGTTTTTGGAGGCAATGGCAAATTACCGTATTTAATTCTGGCATGATTGAGAGTGCTGCCACATATTTTTTTGAAAAGCATATGCTCTTTCGTTTATGATTATCATTGTACCATGATTTTATTTCCATTTTTGTAAAGTTCCTTACGAAACTTCCAATTGCTCTAAATTTAACTTCCATTTTTGTTTCAGATTTACAGTTTTGGTGTCTTCAAACTAAAAAGAAAAGCACCAAAAAACGCACCAAACTCAAAAATTTTGGCGTTTTGAATTAAGAAAAGCACTAAATTTAGTGCGAAAAGCAATAAGCTGGCAACAGTGCCAGCTATGCCCTACTTACATATGCAATGTGTGTTTGTATTCATGTATGTACTCAAAGTATGTACNAAAAATTCGAAGGGAACAGAATGGAACTCGAACATCGAACGAATGTTACTCTAAGGGTGCTTTTAGAGTACCAATCGTTCGAAAGCGAACAAATTTTCTTTCGAATCGAACTACAGAGTAAGGGCCCAGTACCTTTGCAAGCAAAAGAGTGCAAACAAAACGATTTATGTTTCGTTGCTTGACGAGCATAGCTAGATCGTTTCAAACGATTCGTTTTCTTACACATGAAGAGCGTATACCAGCTATCAGTGTTGCCAAGTGTTGAATTTGAAAAAGCACCAAAACCAAAGAAAAATCGCGTTTTTTTTCGAAAAAAGCACCACATTTTTTATTTGAGGATTTAATGAACTTTGTATGCATACACAATTTTTTTGTAGGTATGCCGATTCAAATTAATAAAAATTAATGCTTCCTGCTCGGCGGTCGAAGGTTCGTTATTCATTTTACTGTTAGGAGATGCTGGTGCTTTTTTTAATATTCGTAAAAAATATAACAAATTCTGCCCAAATTAAAGGTCTAGAGATCGATTCCTGGTCCCAGCAACATGGACGTTTTTGGAGGCAATGGCAAATTACCGTATTTAATTCTGGCATGATTGAGAGTGCTGCCACATATTTTTTTGAAAAGCATATGCTCTTTCGTTTATGATTATCATTGTACCATGATTTTATTTCCATTTTTGTAAAGTTCCTTACGAAACTTCCAATTGCTCTAAATTTAACTTCCATTTTTGTTTCAGATTTACAGTTTTGGTGTCTTCAAACTAAAAAGAAAAGCACCAAAAAGAGCACCAAACTCAAAAATTTTGGCGTTTTGAATTAAGAAAAGCACTAAATTTAGTGCGAAAAGCAATAAGCTGGCAACAGTGCCAGCTATGCCCTACTTACATATGCAATGTGTGTTTGTATTCATGTATGTACTCAAAGTATGTACNTAAAATTCGAAGGGAACAGAATGGAACTCGAACATCGAACGAATGTTACTCGAAAGGTGCTTTTAGAGTACCAATCGTTCGAAAGCGAACAAATTTTCTTTCGAATCGAACTACAGAGTAAGGGCCCAGTACCTTTGCAAGCAAAAGAGTGCAAACAAAACGATTTATGTTTCGTTGCTTGACGAGCATAGCTAGATCGTTTCAAACGATTCGTTTTCTTACACATGAAGAGCGTATACCAGCTATCAGTGTTGCCAAGTGTTGAATTTGAAAAAGCACCAAAACCAAAGAAAAATCGCGTTTTTTTTCGAAAAAAGCACCACATTTTTTATTTGAGGATTTAATGAACTTTGTATGCATACACAATTTTTTTGTAGGTATGCCGATTCAAATTAATAAAAATTAATACTTCCTGCTCGGCGGTCGAAGGTTCGTTATTCATTCCCAAATTAAAGGTCTAGAGATCGATTCCTGGTCCCAGCAACATGGACGTTTTTGGAGGCAATGGCAAATTACCGTATTTAATTCTGGCATGATTGAGAGTGCTGCCACATATTTTTTTGAAAAGCATATGCTCTTTCGTTTATGATTATCATTGTACCATGATTTTATTTCCATTTTTGTAAAGTTCCTTACGAAACTTCCAATTGCTCTAAATTTAACTTCCATTTTTGTTTCAGATTTACAGTTTTGGTGTCTTCAAACTAAAAAGAAAAGCACCAAAAAACGCACCAAACTCAAAAATTTTGGCGTTTTGAATTAAGAAAAGCACTAAATTTAGTGCGAAAAGCAATAAGCTGGCAACAGTGCCAGCTATGCCCTACTTACATATGCAATGTGTGTTTGTATTCATGTATGTACTCAAAGTATGTACATATGTATGTATAGTATACAAAACGCAACAATGAGAGTAATTGCAAAACCAAATACCATAGAAATCATGCAGGAATTGAAACATGCAACTTCTTAGTTTTTTATGCTGTTAGTTAGTTGGCAGTTAGTTCGCAAACGTTAAGGGCCCTTTGCACCATGTCTAGTTAATTCTAACTCCCAGTTAAACATCTTTATCGACGTTATCGACACCCATCATATAACATGTGATCGNGCTTCCTGCTCGGCGGTCGAAGGTTCGTTATTCATTTTACTGTTAGGAGATGCTGGTGCTTTTTTTAATATTCGTAAAAAATATAACAAATTCTGCCCAAATTAAAGGTCTAGAGATCGATTCCTGGTCCCAGCAACATGGACGTTTTTGGAGGCAATGGCAAATTACCGTATTTAATTCTGGCATGATTGAGAGTGCTGCCACATATTTTTTTGAAAAGCATATGCTCTTTCGTTTATGATTATCATTGTACCATGATTTTATTTCCATTTTTGTAAAGTTCCTTACGAAACTTCCAATTGCTCTAAATTTAACTTCCATTTTTGTTTCAGATTTACAGTTTTGGTGTCTTCAAACTAAAAAGAAAAGCACCAAAAAACGCACCAAACTCAAAAATTTTGGCGTTTTGAATTAAGAAAAGCACTAAATTTAGTGCGAAAAGCAATAAGCTGGCAACAGTGCCAGCTATGCCCTACTTACATATGCAATGTGTGTTTGTATTCATGTATGTACTCAAAGTATGTACATATGTATGTATAGTATACAAAACGCAACAATGAGAGTAATTGCAAAACCAAATACCATAGAAATCATGCAGGAATTGAAACATGCAACTTCTTAGTTTTTTATGCTGTTAGTTAGTTGGCAGTTAGTTCGCAAACGTTAAGGGCCGTTTGCACCATGTCTAGTTAATTCTAACTCCCAGTTAAACATCTTTATCGACGTTATCGACACCCATCATATAACATGTGATCGATAAAGCAGTTAACGTGCTTAACTGAAGGATGTACCTCCAGTTAGCGTTAACTAGACATGGTGCAAACGGCCCTAAGAGTTATTCCTGAGAATTTTGCCTCACCCAGCTGCTCACTTTAGGTAGAACAAAACCCAATTAAACTACAGTCAATAAGATTCATTTCATTTATTTTCGAACTCTGGTAATGAGCAAATCGCCGAGCAAACGTTTGCGAATCATTCCTGAGAGTTTTGTCTCACCCAGTTGCGCACTTTATGCTTTTGCTTCGTTTGCACTTGCGCACAAAAACAGAACAAAACCCAACCCTACTAAAATTTTCTTTGTTTGAGTTTCGGTTGTGTTTTGCTCTCTGTTATGAGAGAAACGAAACAAAACAATACGATTTATTTCGTTTATTTTCGAACTCTGGTTTTAAGTCACCTCTTGACAGTTTTTAATCAACAATGAAACGTAACAAAGTTCAACAATCAATAATCTCGTTCTTCAANTGCGCACAAAAACAGAACAAAACCCAACCCTACTAAAATTTTCTTTGTTTGAGTTTCGGTTGCGTTTTGCTCTCTGTTATGAGAGAAACGAAACAAAACAATACGATTTATTTCGTTTATTTTCGAACTCTGGTTTTAAGTCACCTCTTGACAGTTTTTAATCAACAATGAAACGTAACAAAGTTCAACAATCAATAATCTCGTTCTTCAAAAAACCGAAGGCACAAATCGACGCCATTGAAGAAAATCTCGACGGTAAGTAGAGTGATGTGCATACTTACGTGTTAATGTATTACGTGTTAATGTATTAAGTTTTAATGTATATCAATTTCTACACAAATTTGCATTAATTTTGTATAAAATAGTTAATGCTTATTTTTCACTTAACTGCGGACACAGCTGCGTGCTAATTCAATGCATAGCCTGCCATGTGCAGGCCTTAGCAGCAATTTACATGATAAGCATTGTGTCAGGGATATTTTGCAATCAAAGCACATGCAATATTTCATAGTGAATGCCACAGCCATCACCGAGGAATAATAATGAATTGGATAACTTCAAAATTAAAGACCAAAATGAATAAAAGGAATGATTCCAGTTTAAAGTGATAGTCAGATATTTCTTACTTCTATAAGTGCTTGTTCAGTGGTAATTTTAAAAATTTATACAACTTTTGAATTTACTACTGCTTTCATACAAACCTGAACAGATGTGATAAAAACAGTATTCTACATCAGTTATTTGCAACCCTGTGCGTCTTTTTTCAGAAGAGCATCTTCACAGATACGGAAATAATGACGATAGTAACCGCAGTTCTAGAGTCGACGTTACATCTGGATCGAATAATTCTGCTCCGAATGATCGCGAAAAAGGTGGGTACATTATATTACAATAATACACAGATATCATATTTCGTACAGTTTTTACTAAAATGATGTGAACTTATGTTTTGATTTCGCAGATGAGGATGCAATATTACCTTCAGTTATTGATGACGGCCAATCAGAAAAATTTAACCAAGACAGCGATCAAGACATAGTTGCGACTCTATGGCAAGCTAACCAATTCGATATTGGAAAAGCAAATCGTGATTCTCTGGATGATATTACCAAAAAATATATACTCACGTCGCTTTTACTTCCGAAATTGCCTCACAAGTTTCCCGTTACAGCAGGCAAATCCGGTAATAGAAGTTTCCAACCGACATGGATCACTGAAAATGGCTTTGATTTTTTGGCTTACTCAACGAGTGAAGAGGAGGTCTATTGCAAAAAATGCTGGTTATTCTATCATGAAGGAGTTGGTAAAGGATATCATCAATATCCAGGTAAATTAGTCACTACTAGTTGTCGGGATTGGAAGAAAGCCATCGAATTATTCAAAAAGCACAAGAAAAAGGAATATCATGAAGTATGCGATACACGAGGCACATTATTTCTCAATGTGGCGTCTGGTAAGCAGCTTGATATTTTGTCACAATTAGATATTCAACGTGCCAACGGGAAAGAAGAGAACAGGGCAACTTTAAGACCAATTATTGAGACAGTGCTATTTTGCGGAGAGCAGGAATTACCTGTAAGAGGAGATAATGATAGCGGTACTTTCCCTTTAGAACGGCCTGAAAAAAAATATGGAACGTTTCGAGCTCTTTTACGTTTTAAAATCAAATCGGGAGATAGGGAATTAAAAAAGCATATCACAAACAGTGCAAAAAACGCCACTTATTTGAGCCCTGAAATGCAAAATGAAATTATACAAACAGCTTCCGATATCGTTACTGAAAAAATTATAAATAAAGTTTACAACACTGACTGCTTCAGTATTCTTGGAGATGAAACAATGGATGTTCGGGCACTGAGCAACTATCAATATGTCTGCGGTGTGTGGATTTTACAAAGGACTCGTCCACTCCAGTATTAAGAGAAGATTTTGTTGGTCCATAGATGATCAATGTTCCGAGAATCTTAGTAACGTTATTCTGCAGCGATGTGAGGAGCTTAAACTAGACATGAATAAGTGTGTCGGACAAGGATACGATGGAGCCGCAAATATGGNAGAATCTTAGTAACGTTCTTCTGCAGCGATGTGAGGAGCTTAAACTAGACATGAATAAGTGTGTCGGACAAGGATACGATGGAGCCGCAAATATGGCAGGTCATTTGAGGGGAGTTCAGAAAAGAATCAAAAACCAATATCATAACGCAAGATATTATCACTGTGCAAGTCACCGTTTGAATCTTGCTGTTGCGAATGCAATGTCGATCCCTGTGATCCGTAACTGTCATGGAGTTGTTGGTCAAATTATAAATTTATTTAGAAACACTTCAAACGCAAACAAGATCTTCCAGCAAAGCGAACAAAAGTATGCTCCGGACAGTAAAAAAAGCGACTGCTCCGCCTTTGTGAAACTAGATTTATTGAAAAACATGAGAGTATAATCTCATTCATGGAACTTTTCGAATGCATTGCCATCAGTCTGGAGGAAATAGCTGGCAAAACATGGTCTGTATCTTCCACAGCATCTGCTCTTTTTGCTGCGATTCAAAAAAGTGACTTTATCGTGGGTCTTTTGGTATATGAAAAACTGCTAAGTTTAACTCTACCACTGTCAGTATTTCTGCAGGAAAAGTTTTTGGATTTCATCTCCGCTATAAATCGCACGAAAGAAATAATACAGTCGTTGTGGGACATTAGAGAATCTGCTGATGATTTCTTTGGACAAATCTTCTCTTCCGCATCAAACCCAGCTGAAAACTTTTTTGACAGCGAAATCCGTGCTCCTAGAGTTGTATCACNCGATGATTTCTTTGGACAAATCTTCTCTTCCGCATCAAACCTAGCTGAAAACTTTTTTGACAGCGAAATCCGTGCTCCTAGAGTTGTATCACGTCAAACAAACCGTGCCAGTCCGCAAACTGCATCGAGCGAACCTTACTTCAGAATTACAGTATTCCTTCCGTGCATTGACTCCTTAGCTGAAAATTTAACGGAACGATTCCTCGAAAACGAAGATGTTTTACCGACGTTCCAACTTCTCCTCCCAGGATTTGCTGATGTAAGTAAAGCAGATGAGCTAGACAACTTAGCATCATACTTTGAAGATCAGATGTCGTCAACGGCAGTGAAAGCAGAATATAGGTTGTGGTGCGCAAAAATATCGTCCATTGACAAATCATCCGAGGTTTCGAAACTGTTGGAGTATTGCAAAGGAAATTATTTCCGCGGTATGAAACTTCTTCTCACCATTTTAGCCACTCTGCCAGTGACAACGGCTAGCGTAGAACGATCATTCTCCACCATGAAAAGGATCTAAACTTTACCTCGAAGTGTAATGGGTCATGAGAGATTAAGTTCTCTCGCTATGATCTCCATTCACTGGGATATTGCTGTCGATCCTGACCACGTCATAGACATCTCATCGAAGAAAAAAGCTAGAAGATTACTTCTCTGATTGAAAAAGAGAAAAATTATATTAAAATTTGTACCTCGTTATACCTATATACATGAAAATAAATTAAAATAGCTTCAGAGTAATCTTATACATTTAATTGATGGTCACATTCATTTCCAATATTCTGAACCTATATAAAAACCCACACCTTCCACTAAAACAACAAGTGCTTCCCTCCCCGTTCACTTCTTACCTTAACCCCCTCTAAGCACCACTGACTGTAACCTTTGTGCGAGTTGTTGATAGATTCTGCGAGCCCAATAATACAATAAAAAACAAATAAACAGATGTTCACAAAAGTTGATATAAAACTATTCGTCGACTTAAATTGTTAACTTTTTACTGAGCATATTTATTTTACGAGGAGGAAGCATCGAAAGCCTAACCCCGTCAGTGTGAGACTTTAACCCAAACTAAACCTCCTACCGTCATGTACCGTGCCCCTCCCGGTACGACCGTCATGGATTTCGTTGGGATTATAACACTGATGAGGTTACAGATCTATTCTCTTCTTCTTATTTGGCGCTGTAACCACCAAAGCGATTTTGGCCAACTGACGCCAATTGGAAATGTCAAGTGAAGCCAGAATACTTTCTCAGAGGCAGGGCGTCGGTGTCCATTCGAACGACATGGTCAAGCCAGTTGAGCCGCTTTTTTTTTTTAATTCGCCATATACCAGCACGGGCATGATGAGTGACTTATAGTGTGGTTTTCGTACGTCGAGAGAGGACTTTACTCCTGAATTGCCTACTCAGTCCAAAGCAGTACTTGTTGGCAAGAGTGATTCTGCGTAGGATTTCCATGCTGACATTATTATCGGTGTTAATGCTGGTTCCCAAGTAAACGAAATTCTCTAATTTCTCGAAATTGTAACTGTCAACATTGACGTTCTGCGTTGGATTTCCATGCTGACATTATTTTCGGTGTTAATGCTGGTTCCCAAGTAAACGAAATTCTCTACTTTCTCGAAATTGTAACTGTCTACAGTGACGTGGGTGCCAAGGCGCGAATGTGCTGACTGTTTGTTTGATGACAGGAGATACTTCGTCTTGTCCTCGTTTACCACCAGACCCATTCGCTTTGCTTCCCTATCCAACTTGGAAAAGGCAGAACAGACTTCGCGGTTTTTGTTACCGATAATGTCGATGTCATCGGTATAAGCCAGAAATTGCACGCTCTTGTAGTGAATTGTTCCTGAGCGGTTCAGTTCTGCAGATCTTATTATCTTCCCCAACATCAGATTAAAGAAGTCACATGAAATAGAGTCGCCCTGTCTGAAACCCCGTCTGAAGGCGAACGGCAAAAGAGCAGAGCTGGTGGTATTGCTCTACGTCATTTTTCACAGCCGTATGAGGGGATGCCACATTCAGATATAGCGGCATATACGAAACTCCTTTTAGTGCTGTTGAAAGCGGCTTTAAGGTCGACAAATGGGTGGTGAGTGCCGATCCTCTTGCAACCTATGCTTAGAAGGCTGATCCCGCGGTAGTTGGCACGCATGGCGGGGTCGCCTTTCTTGTAGATTGGGCAGAGCGCACTTGAATTCCAGTCGTCGGGCATGCACCTCATTACCTCCTTTCTATCGTAATTAAATAGCTCAGCTGACAGGTCGTCAGCTCAAGCAGCTTTGGCACTTTTCGTTATAGTCAGGCGCTGGGATATCGACTCCATCGTCATCGACTGGGACCTCGGGTTCGTCTTCTCCACTTCTTTCAGTGCTTCTGCCATTCAAAAGGGTCGAAAAGTGTTCCCTCCATAATCTGAGTACGTTCTGGACATCGGTCACTAGGTCGCCATGGTTGTTCCTACAAGAGTCTTGAAACCTTCCGTAAGTCGCTCAACTCTCTGCTAAAAATTTCGGGTGTTTTTTCTGTCGGCCAGCATTTCAAGCATTTTCTCACACTCCTATCGTACCAGTAGTGAGCGGGAAATGTGGTTTCACTGATCGCGCAAGTCGGTTTGTTGAAGAGTGCTCTCTCACAGCAGGTGTGAGGGTCGAGCGCCGAATCCATTGGCCGTCTGTTTTGATTGCAGCTTTTCGACGTGAAAATTTCCTTGGTTTGTTGGGGGCCCTTTTTTTGCTGCTCCGAGGTTGGGTCGTATATTGGATGCATCAATATAGTAGTGCGAGTCGATGTTTGGCCCTCGGAGTGTACGTATGTACATCTAAAACATGGAAGCATGCCTTCCGTCTGTCACAACATGCTCGATTTGGTTTCCCGTTTTTCGATATGGAGACATCCATATAGCTTGATGGATCTGCTAGAACCGAGTAATACATACTGCAACGTTTCGGGCCCCGGAGAAGTCGATCACCCTCAGCTAATATGTACGCTTTAAGCTAACAGAGCCTTGGATGACTCGTTCCTCTCTTCCATCGGGGCATTGAATGAGATGTTGAAGAATCTCGCTTTGATGCGGATTGTGGCTAGACTTTCGTCCACTAGAGTGAACGCCGGTCTCTCTCCCACCACAAATCCAACACCGAATTGCACTCCTTTACGTGGCAACTGTAGTAGACGTCGCAAGGCTCNAACTGTAGTCGACGTCGCAAGGCTCCACGCCCCGTCCATTGCATTTCGTGGATGGCGGTGATGTCAGCCTTTATTTTCCCTAGGACATCAACCAGCCGGGCAGCGGCACCATCCCAATTAAGGGTTCGGATATTCCAAGTGCATACCCTAAAATCATAGTTCTTCCTTTGTTTGCCGTGATCGTCATCAAAGGAAAGGGGTATCATCCGAGGCATGTGTTGTTTTTCATTGGGCAGGGTTTTAACGTAGCGGGACCCAAACCCAGCTCACGCGGGCCACTCCCAGTTGAATGGCAGCCAAAAGCTTTGCAGCACTGGGAAATGTACAAAACATAGTGGTCAAAAGCGAATATCTCAACTAAACCCTGATGTATTTTTTAAATTCATAGCTCAACATACCTGTATAGATAGATAGATAGATTAAGTAGAGGTATGCACTGCGACCAAATGATCTATTGTGCCCTCGACTGTTTAGAGTACCTCATCTAGTCCCAGAGAACCCAAAAATTTAAGGAGATCTCCGGGGGCTAGCGATTGTAAGACTTCATCGCTTGGCCAGAGTTGGCCCAGGTGTCTCTCCCGTCTTCTCGCAACTGCCTCGCATTCGCGAAGCAGATGCAGAGGGGTCTCCTCAGCCACATCGCAGAACCGACATAGGTCGTTAGACCAGGTCCCCAACCTGTGCAGGTGACCTCTCAGTCTGCAGTGACCCGTCAGAAAGCCTATCAATATCCTTACCCTTTCTTTGGGAAGGTTTATAATTGCTCTATACCTTGTATGGTTGTAACCTCCCAGTAGGCTTTTAGCCTGGCGTTGGCCTGCCGTGTTACGCCAGTGCTGATTCCTTACTGTGTTCCTCTCCTTCCTGAGCTCTTCCTTTATTGTACTAGGTCCAACCGCTATGAAGGGCTCAGGCCCTATAGGCAACGAGGCGGC